AAATGCAAAAACGATGGCATGGTCCATTATTATCTGCTTCAGCGAATTTCCACAGGCCTTTGGAGAATATACCATAATCCAAAAAACATACACTAGTATGCGCCTGAACGTGTCAGACAAATCAATCAACTTCGGCTGTTATCGGTCAACGATTCAGCTTATTTTTAGTATGACAATCGTGTGTCAAATTTACCTTCTGTATATAAGATATTATGTAGCGAGTTCGGTAGGTTTATAAAAATTATTATATTATGTAATTGCGAATGACCTATCTTGCCATTAGGTGAAAAGAGATTGCACTTAGTGAATCGAACGAGACGTTTTCCGATGAACGCTTATTTAATTTATTGTCACATTCGCATTCAGCAACTATTTTTTTGGTATTCTGCGAATGGTAAACGGTAGTATTTGTGACACTTAAAATTATAACTAAATAATGTTTTTTTTTCAATTGCCTTAACTAAACTCTATTTTCAACCACAACATGGCCTTTTTGCAGCGCAATGCTTACTCACTTGCAATTCGCTTAGAATTTGGAAGGCTGTTTGCCGACATCCGACGATCCGATAACGGAAGAAAAGGCCGCGGAACTTCGAGTGAACCACATCAATGCTCTGGCTACATCTGCGTACCGTGCAGAATGCTGTGTCATTTTGAACAAATTCCGTTTGGGTCTTGTTGATGTCGACTTTTACTATCTGGATGCGACTGTCTCCAATGCACTTCCAACAGGGACAGGAGAACCTTTTAGTTGTTGGGTTAATGCATTCATATCACAACTTCCTATTTACACAAAATTGGCCTTGCATACGAGGAAATTACCTAGTAGTGCTTATAAAAGTCTCAGTTCCCTCGTCACCGTTACAGACAAGTTAACTTGTCTAGAAATATAGGAATGGTCAAACCTGCAATATTGGATGTTCAAAACCTACCAATACAGGTTTGCAATCAGTTCATTATCTTTTCTATTTCAATTAAATCTACAAACAGTGCATTTTATTCTGTTTATCTTTGACGGTGATTTGGATAAAGAGTTTGTAATTGACAGTAAATTCCTCTACTAATTAGACAAACATTGCGCGTGATCATTATTCGTGCATGACTAAACGACAGTCCGCATTGTGGTAAAGTATATAGGCATACTGCTCACGTTTCCAAATTTATTTTTACTAAGTTATGAGTCTACTCCGTAATGTCGCATCAACCTACAAGTAAAAGTCCTAGTGGGACGATCAAAATGGAATGCACGCCTAGCCTACGACTTACAGGAGACTTCACCATATGCGTCACATCTACAGAGAGAAAAAGGACGTTCAAATAATTTTGCAATTTTGGAACCCACATCCGAGTTGCCTTATTTTAAACTAGAAATCATGTTTGTGCCACATTAGCGATTATTTTAAGACGGTTTCTTCCGTTGAAATATAGTAACTTATATAGGAATGTTATTATTTCAAAGCATTGTCTTTTGTACAGATTTCCTGAAAGATGGACAACTAGGTCGATGTTGTCCACGCCCTGTTTTGCTGAATCCAACTTTGCAAGAAGAAAGTAATGTGTTCTAACATATTTTGTGTTTTTGGTTGCACATAACCCAAAGTACGGCAGTATCAGCACAAATTGATAGTTTAAATGCAAACATGTTTCCATCGCAGTCTTCTAATATTTTTATCGGTATTGTAACTTGCTTCATATTTATGTACCTATGCTATGCATGCGTGGATATGATGAAATACCAAGTAGGTTAGAGTTAAGCGAATGTGTAGAGAGTGATTTCCACGGAAAAATGGAATAATGAGTACGCCTCACTGTGATAATATAAGGATTGCAGTGAAATAAGTTTAGGCAAAAACTGTTGGAATAATGACGCACAACTATCGTGGTTAACATATGCGCCCCAGTCATCCATATCGTATACGGAAGAAGCATGTGATGTTGATTATTCGGAGTTCACAAAGACGTCGCAGCGCATAGCCGGATCCTTGTCAACCCTGTTCAATAAATACTGCACTCATGCGTCTCCCTTCTTCCTTATCAGCCACTTTGCGGGACGATGCGTTTCATCGAAGTCCGAAACGCCAAACTAGCAAGGCTACTTCCGCATTGTTCCCATCATTTTCGTCCGCTGCTTACATACATCCTGCCCACCTGCATCTGTTGCAAATCGCCATGCAAACTAGTGGGACAGCGCTGGTAGACATTCAGCCGGTTTTCACCACAGGCACAACCGATGCTCTGGACATCCACTTTGCACGTAGTATCCAATGCGAGTTCTGACAACGTGGATGTCTACGACGATGACCCTGTAATCCACAACGCAACATAGCCGGTTCTTACATGCTTACCACCTTTGCAAGTCTTAGTTAGGGTGTTTTTTAACGAGGATAATTTCACAAATGTCTAACAGATAATGTTCATTGAAAAAACATTTATGAAATGCTCGTTTCTGCTCCTGACGTTTCGAAATCGTCCGCATGTCAAGCGGCTATTTAAGGTTGTCCCAGATTTCAATACAATTTCTGCTGTCATTCTGCGCATTGTGGCCTAAAGAGTGGCTTGATATTTCGACACACAGTCCGTCGGCAATAAGATCTGTTTTCTGTGACACGTAATTCATATATAGTCGAGGAATGTTATATTTTGCGTGTTGTTTTACGTGGCTGAAGAAGAATTAAATCAACCTCGTTAGTATTTAATCAATTAGCTGAGTATGGGTTTGATTGCATGACTTTTGAATTCTCCTCTACAAGACATGTTACCAAGAGTCCGGTTTTTAATATACAAATAACGATTTCAAGTCCAGATAGGGGAAGATTTTGTCCAGTTAAATCGTTCGCGCGCGAATATTTGTTAGGAATTCGAGACCTGTACGACTTGAGGTTGATTGGGTACGCTATATTAAGTTTGGTTTCCAAATATTTATCTTTCAAAAGTTTTGATGGGTCTACTTGTTTACAGCCGTGATTCGTCCCAGGCAAACATTTGTTTTGCATATATTTACGCAACAAAAACTCAAGCAAAAACAATGCTCTGCGGTAATTATTTGACTTCACTCGTTCACCACCATCATATTTTGCACTTTATTTATTCAGTACCCTTTTAAACGGATGTATGCTCAATTTGTTTTGAGTCCGCGGCTGGTCAATTAAACCTTTGTCATTAAGTATTACCTTCAGTTTCTCATTGTAGTCTCCTCTGCTCACCCCAAATAAATTGATTTATGTTTCGCTGCCTACATCCCCCTAGGTTTGCCAATGTACGCGTTATTTAATTTCAGTGTACAAAACGTGCATATATTCAACATATTTGTGCACGCGTTTTTTGTTAAAGCTGCGCTTGAAGTGTCCATTATAAACTTGCTATACTTTTTTTTAATTTAGGCATCCTTTTGTAAAAAAATGTAGTCTTTCTAAATTTTCTGCGTTTCCTGTGTCAAATATTCTAAAATAAAATTCCCGTTTATCGGGAAACATGAATTTTCACAAATAGAAAATGGACTACACAACCCGCACAGTTCCAAATACCTTATGGTGCTTCATCAGGTAATCAAACATGACCACTTTTGGAACGAAAATTCTGCACAGAATAGAGTATAATATGTTTTCTTACTTACATACGATAATCCTCATATCCGCAATAATCGTTAGATTATCGAATGACCCGATTATTTAAAAAGGAGGCACGATCGCCGGGACAAAAGCTTTATTAGCCTGACGTTCCGGATTCCTACTCGAATCCATCATCATAGACAAAAAAGCAGAAACGGGTGGTTGCTGCACAAGAGGCTGCGGTATTTATAGGATTCAGTAGCCATGCAACCACACGCCTATAAACATACACGGCTCCCCCCTTCATCCGGAATCGTCGGACTTGGTGTGATAATTGCTAAATGGTCGACATTCGAGTCGATAACTGCTGCAATTTCATCACATGCGTTGGATGTTGGCGTGATGATTGCTCGACCATCTGACGCACTGACCCCGGTGTTGGGAAAAGCGTTCATCTTAGCGCTTCCCGCGTGGCTTGTTACTCCGCCTAGGCGAAGTTTCAGCACGGAGTATGGAGTGAGAAGATCGTTGCACTTGTTGATGGACTGGGGGCCAGTAAACTATGATTCCAGTAACTCCCAGCTCACGCGGTTGTCAACTCTTGCGAGAGTTTTTGCCTCGTCGAATTTTTATGCGTGGCCGGATCTCTTCGAATGAGCAGCAACTTGAGAGCTAGGGTCATTTCTGCGCTCTGCAGTCGCGTGTTCGGCCATTATTGTTTGGAAATGTCTTCCGGTTTCTACGACGCAGTTGTTTTGTCCTCAACTGCACCCTATCCGATAAACGACTCCAGACGTTTCTAGCCGTGGCAGTTGGTCTTTTGGTTTCATTAACTGACGCCTGATGCTTGCCTCCGGTATGTGTGCCACTCCAACCCTTAAATGGTGAGAGAAGGCAGCCGACAGCTTCCGAAACGTTATAAACATACGGAAGTGACCGCCAAGATTTGGTGTTCGTGCGGTTAGGCCTTTCGTCTCTTTTGCGTATTCACCGGTTGACGAAGTTGCGCGGGTAGCCATTGGCTTTAACTTTCCGTTTGAGGTATTGTAGTTCGGCAATTTTGCCTTCCGGCTCACTGCTGTCTGTTTCAACACGCCTATATAACGTCCTTACACAATTGCGCTCGTGGCTGATTGGGTGGTTACTGTTGAAGTTCAGTAATTGCATCGTATTTGTCGCTTTCCTGAACACGTTGGTCTTTAGTCCACCACAATCCTTGCGGCATACGAGGACATCCAGGAAGGCCAGCTGGTTGTCCTCTTCCTCCTCCATCGTAAATTGAATGTCCTGGAAGACGGCGTTTAGATGTTCTTGAAATGTCAACACCTGATCCCGTTCGATGACGACGAAGGTATCATCCACATACCGGGCCCAGAATTTCGGTCTGTGGTGTTGGAAAACCAGCGACCCTAACCGTTGCAGGACCGCCTCGGCGATGGATCCCGAAATCGGCTAACCAATTGGTGTGCCCTTCACCTGTTCGTAGATTGTCCCGTCGAAAGTGAAGTACGTCCTGAGACAGAGCTTCAGGAGCTGAAGGATTTGGGCGTGTCCAAGACGGTTCTCCGTTTCATTGTATTTGCTTTGTAGTAGCAGTTCAATTGTCTCGATCGCTAGGTCCTGGGGAATAGAAGTAAAAAGGGATGTAAGATCAAAAGATACCGTGACCCCATTTGGATGGATGCTTACCCCTTTGAGTTTCTCCAGGAATTGTGCTGACGAAGAGACCGTGCTGTCTGACTCAGCAGTTAGGAACTTGAGACGTCGGAACAGCCGCTTAGCCCGTTCGTACATTGGAGTCCCTTTGAGCGACACGATGGGTCAGAGAGGATCGCCGTCTTTGTGCCCCTTAGAGAGGCCATAGAATCGGGCCAGAGCCGTATCTTGGGGTCTCGTCATGAGTCTGTTGGTTGGTGTTATTGCACCTGAGTACTATAAGGCCAAAAACGTTGCAATAATTTCGCGTGTCAGCGCTTTAAAGGGTTCGCTGCAGATAGGACATAGAACTGTCGGTACTCCAGTAAACCTTTCGCTGTTTGAAGGCAGTCTGTCCTGTTCAGTACAACTGTGGCGCGTCCTTTGTCCGCTGGCACGACGACCAGGTCTTTGTCAGTCTTGAGTTCTCTAAGCGCATGCAGTTCGACCTTGAAAAGCACTTTCCGTGGCCTTTGGGCTATCAGGAGGGACGATACTTGGTGTCGGATGAGGTTCTTTGTCTCCACCGTTGCCTCCGTCTGACAAAGGATTGATTCCACTGCTGCACTCATGTTAACAGGTATGGCGTCAGCCGTGTTAAATGAAGCTTCGTTCCGTACAACCTGCATTTTGTCCTTTATTAGCTACTCTGTGCACCAGGCGGTACTGCTACCAAACTTGTTTTCGCTGAGTTCCATCAAAACCGTGCGTCCCTGGAGTATTTTACACAAAACGCTCGAATTTACCTTCACAGCCAGATTTCTGTTTTATTTAATAAAATGCCACAAAACACTTATTGCAACGTGAATAAGCAAGATCCACTTCGTTTATAAAACATATTGTTTCTACGTGCGTGTTCCCTCTCCTACGCAGTCCACAATCACAGATTCAGACAAGTCGATATATTTGGAGAAGTGATTTACCGCAATGAGCCGTGTTGGTTTGAATGAACTGTGGTCAGTCAGCAAGGATATTCATATGTTTTCCAGCAATACTCTTTCGGGATTTTAAACCTCTAAATTAATTTTATTTGTATATAAAAATAATGAGTCCGTGCTGATGAACACAGAGGATCACATTTATGAAAATATTACATTATAAAGATGAAACGTGTACTGTGCGAAAAGTATTTTCGTATACAAAAGCACATATTATTTGCCGAATACGAGGAGGAACAAAATAAATGATGCAATGAAATACGGTATTTCCTTCAATCATCGGCAGACAGTAAAATTAATCATTTTTACAGGCGCATCTGCAGTGTAGTAAAACAGGGACAAATTTACGTGTCTAATTGATACAATCGGGAAGTGTTTAGCTAGAGGGCCACACAAATACAATTACTGTCTTGGATTTTTTCGCACGGTTTCTACGGCGGAGTTCTCCAAATATAAACAGGATTTCGAAATAGGCTAATTCGCTCAGGTATTCCGAATGAAAATATTTGCCTTTATTAAAAAATCGACTAAAAGCCCTCAAAAAATAAATGCAGAGTAGTTTCCTTTACACGATGATATTAAAAAAATAAAGCAAAATATATCATAAGATGCACAAATGTCATAAAACTATTTTGTTAATTTTAATCGCGGTAGGCTAGAATGTATTAGTAAAATAAAATGATTAATACATTTGTTTGCGAGTTATGATATACGCGAGTTGATTTATAACATGATAGCTGATTTCACTCATGGGTTGCCTTGATGTGCGTTTGGATTGAGGAGGTAATCGTGATGTTCGCTGATCTGTAGGTTTTAATTACCCACCTTGAGCAATTGTTAGACAGTCTCCTTTTTTGAAAGATGCATCTTGACAGTATGAACAGGTTGTCGATAGTGTCTGTGACGACATTTATCTCCGTACATGTTTCAATGATCATCTCACGAATTCGACTGTGCTTTGCATGTCACACAGGTAAATGTTTTATTACTAGAACCCTCAAATTCCATGAAGACCTTTTTGTTACACCTTTCGAACGTAGAACATCTGGTCATCTCCAGAATACGCTCGCATCTTCTCGAAAGACCTGAAGTCGCCAATTTCTCTAAGGCAGGTGCATAAGGCTAACTGCTGCACTTGATTCCCTTATCTCGCATAAGTGGTTTTACCGCTTAGCCTTCCTCAAATTTCCGTCAACAGAAGTCCATACTGCGAAAAACACCGATTTAGTCTGGACCCTCCCCGCAAGCATCAGCCAACGAACAAATTCGCAACTTCTGGCTTCCTACTTAATACCAGTCCTCACATGTCAAACAAAATACACGTAAAGAAACGAATACCGCCGATGAAAGAAAGAGGTTGATGAATTGCAATTTCCCTCAGCAGATACTTACTTATTTTTCCTTGTGATGCTTGCCATTTGCATAACTTCATTATAATGGAGCAGAGGTTGAGGTTTAGCGTTTTTTAATTTATGCTCAAAATAGCGATTTTAAGTCTTTCATTCCTGCCTTTTAGATTGATTGTACTAATTTGCTGTTTATAATCCTTTCTTCCATAATTGAGTGTGTCCTAGTCTGTGTTTTCGATTTTGCTTAACAACAAAACAAGCCATATTACCCTGCGTGTATCGTTTTGTATTTTGGACCTATTAAAAGCGATTAAAGCAATGCTCAAGCGCTTGTGTGGGTTTTTAGCTTGTTTACTATAATACTCGAGCTGAAGTTGCACTTGAACCCATTTCAGGCAAGCCGTTGAAGCTCATTGGTGTTAAAAATGTGCCTATGTGGACAAATTTAAATTATTTTACGTCACAAGATCTTCCAAAGCACATATCACCTCTAATAACCAAGTTCTTCGCAACAATCCTAAGGCCGTTACCGTGGCAATGATAAGAGACTAAGAGGCTAACAGACTATTAGTACTTTCGTTTTCGTTGTTGTAAAGCAGCTTAGAATAGGACTTTTGGCACAAGTCCAGCCAATCCCTGTGTTTTTCCATCTCGTCAGCTAACTGTTTAGCGTGTTGCCCACCATCACAATTCTCTTTAAATTAAATCTCGTATAACATGATGTCTAATGACAGTTAAGTGGCGTCCTTCTCTATACCGATGACATTCTATTTCTCAAGTTAAGCAATTTAAGCTGTTTTTGTGTTACAAATGTGGCTATGCTGTTAGGTTTAGATTAGTTTACGTCAAAAGATCTTCCAAACCGCATATCACCTGTAATAACCAAGGTCTTCGTAACAATCCTAAGGCCGTTATCGTGGCAATGATAAGAGACTAAATATTGCATGTGTCAGATCGTCTATTAGTTCTTTCTTCTCCCCTTATATTCATCTTTCCTTAGTCGCTGAAATATGCACGAATATTTAGGGTACGAGCACCTATAAAACACACAATTGCATGCGTTTGCCAAAAAATCGATATTTTTGACACGAGAAATTTTCCTACTCCATTTGTGTCCTCTTAGATTCGTTTTTATTGCAACGATAACGAAATTCTGAAAAATGGTCCGCGAATCAAATAATGCCTCGCAGAATCGTGTCCAGCACTTTCTCTCTAACACTTACTCAAATCAAATAATTCATAATGATCTAACTGTAAGGACGTCGGCCTCTTTTTGTCACAGATTGGTCAGGATAAATCACTTAAAGCCCACCGAAACACTTATTTATTGTCAGATAGAGTTAACAACGTGTGCACATGGAGTCTAATTATCCTGATTATTGCTGCACATTAAGCATCATCTTTAGGCTTAAGAATTCTCCAACACTCCTATCAAATCTGCTGTTGGCTATGCTCTGGCTTGCTGAACGAGTTGTGGAAGTCATTTCAAGGCCGTTAGCCGCCAGTTCGCATCCAACTGCTTAACATTTTCATATGCTACTATCCGTAGTACGGTTGGTTGTGTCATTCATGTGGTCCAATCTGTACTAAGCGAATGCGATGAGGATCACAATTCATACATGTAGATATTTTCTTAATTACTCATCCACCTTTAATAACCTCCTACACCATCCTCTCTACACCAAAGAATCCGCGTGCGTCTCTCCATTCGAGGTCGCCTCTTGACTCGGAAATTAGTTTGGCAACGGTAGACTGTTCATCGTGTCATATGGAGTTTTATATTGGCATGCTTCTATTTGCAGGTCGTTGCACAAATTAAACTGCCGACAACGGTAACTCAATAAAGATGACGCCTTAACTCATAATTCTTTATTTTGTGATTTTTACATTTTAGCCTTCATTGTACTACTACTCTCGTTTCCGTCGTTGTACAACAACGTAGGATAAGACTTTCGGCACAAGTCAAGGCAATCCCTGTGTTTTTTTCCATCTCGTTATCTAACTTCGTAGCTTGTTGCTACCATCAAAACTCCCTTTAATGTAAATCTCGTAGGACGCGATGTACAGTCCAATATTAGTTTAACGGGGTCCTTCACTATACAGTTGACATTACATTTCTCAAGGCAGACAATTTCTCTAAACCAGCAAGCAAAAATTGTCGATCGTTCTAATGGAATGTCGTCTTCCCATTATTTCATTTTATCATATTGGTTTTTTTCTCTTCCCATTAGCGATCTAAAAGCCCCAAATGAGGGTCTATTAATGACATATCCTTACAATATGGCAGTTCGCCACCGTTATAAAAACCAGACAAATCTCCGATCTCTAAGGAATGGTATTAGGCCTGTCTTAGTATGATTGCAGGAAGATAGTATAGTACTGAATAATCCAAGTCAGCCCAATGTATTATCTTAGTGCGACCCTCATTTGGTCCTCAATACTTAAATAGCTTAACCAATGAGGTATTTTATTTCACTTACCTTCCTGCTAATATTTCACCAGCTAGTTTATTTTCCCTCGAAACTGATATCTTTTTTACGGAAATCTGTGAAAATTCTTATAAAATTATGACGTTTACTTTCTAAACACACGCCTCAAGCCTAGCTCTGTTCATTCGTAGATTCGCTCGCCTAAATTGTGTCCTGCGATTTATTCCTTTTTGTTTAAATAATCCATACGAATGCATGTTTCTGTTGCCAACGTTCTCTAAGCCTTATTGTTAATATTATCTTACAACTGTTTTGCAAACGGTTGAAGAAATTGCTAGTCGAATGTTAGATGCTATTATTTTAGTCCAGATATTTTAATGTTC